TAGGTCTTGTTTAGGTTTTATGTCTGTCTTTGAATTTTGACTTTTAAAGTGATTTTATTCATTTTTAGTTTAGTCGAACTGATGATGGAGCTGGACTCCGAAACGTTTTCAATATCGATATGGTGAATTTTCTTGGCGTTTTCTTTGCTTTTAAATTCCTTGTGAACTTGCGATATAAGCAGACTAATGATATAAGTAATTAAATATATATTATTACTCGTTGCTTGGTAACTTATATAGTTTGATGGCTGAACTGTACGAGAGTGTACACGTTCGTCTTGCTTCTACTGGCTGGTTGGTAATTTATTTCGTTTGATGGCAGAACTACACAAGACTGAATACGTTCATCCCGGTGGACATCTCTGAGCTTGAGCTATGGCGGGACCGGCTGCTCGACGGCATCCATCAGGGCTTCTTCATCAACGTACGTCACATGCATTGCAGTTGAATGCAAATACGTGCCCAGTTCAACATTATTCATTTCACGTACAGGGAAAATTTCTATTCATGCAACGTACATCGACATCCTGTGATGCGCTCGTCTAACTCATGTGTAAATGTATTTCAATTGCAATTTCTGCGGGAGAAAACATTGGGAACGATTGAGTCAATCTCACATTAATTATTACCAACATTCTAGAGAATGTGAACGAGTGTTCAATATGTCCTACTCGTAGAAAGCGGGCAACCGCGTGCCACTGAGCGATGAGGTTGACATCACGGATGGCACCAACAAGCGCGGCATCGACATCATCGGGGACACACCTTCGAGGCGGACATGAACATCAGCGCCAACTACGATTTCTACGGCGACCTGCACAACTTCGGCCACGTGGTTATTGCGTCGTCGCACGACCCCGACGGCACGCACGGGGTGAGTTGGTTCATACCAACCTAATCCTGGTCCACCACGCACGAGATGAGCTGGCTCATACCAACCTAATCCTGGTCCACCACGCACGGGGTGAGTAGGTTCATACCAACCTAATCCTGGTCCACCACGCACGGGGTGAGTAGGTTCATACCAACCTAATCCTGGTCCACCACGCTCGAGATGAGCTGGCTCATATCAACATAATCCTGGTCCACCGAGCACAAGATGAACTTAAGCATTAACTATCAACAAACACAATAATAATACATCCTTAGTTAACACGAGTTGGCAAATAAGGTAGCAGATTCCGTGAAATATAAACACGGCACTAGAACATTCTCCGTACCTCTGCAGTTGCTGAATTATACACACAAATCCTTGCACATAACCATAAAGGCAAGTCCGCATAGAATTCGCACACTGCTATGGAATCGTCTACCCGCTCGCTTAATTCCAAATTCAACGCGTCGGTCACTCTGACCATTTTCTTCCTTTAGTTTTAGAAATCGAGAATATTCTGCCAAGATCCCTACAACGTAATTTGTCTCTCAATAATGAGTCTCATATAAGTAGACTATCTCCTGCTCTACCTACATCTCGTTTTTGGTTACAAATGATCACATCTGTTAGTTACCACTATAGGAAATAATTTTTGACACTTATTACTCGATAGTTCCAGCATAGCACTCGTGAAGACGTCTTTGCCTCAATTGAAGACTTATTAGAGAATTGTTCATCTTTGAATTAGTGCTTAATTTTTTATTCTTTGAAATTTTACTACAAAACTGTGAGCAGGAAAACTTGGGTGTGATGTCTGAAAGCACAGTGGCCATGAGGGACCCTGTTTTCTACCGCTGGCACAAGTACGTCGACTGGATCTTCCAGCAGTACAAAGCCACACAACCCACTTACACCGTCCAGCAGGTTGGTTGTTCCATCCATTAATTTTTTTTACAGTTTCAGGACTGTTGACAGGTCAGAAAGACAATCTTATTTTGTAAGGCCAATAACCGCACGAACTTGACAAATGACGTCGTCCTCAGACTACAATATGGTAGGTTGGTAGATATGGTAAGTCTGCTAGCTACCCGATAAGTTAGTGTCCCGTTTATAGCGCTTAGACGGTATGAACGTCAACAAATAGACTCGAGTGATTGGTTGGTGGATCAGCCTGCAGCAGGATCAGCCTGCAGCATCTCAACCACAAGCCCTTCGACTATCACATCCTCGTGCGTGGGGCTCCACTATTCCTAACACAAGTCGCAGCTCACAAGATCTCTGCTCTATTCTTGATGATATATCATTGATAATTGTATTTCAATTCTCTAAGATTTGTCACTGGTGCTTGAAGCCTTGAACAGTCCTGCGATTGGTTCCTCCATGCTTGAAAATATAGAAACCCTGTTGTAAACATCATCAAACCTACATTAGAGAATGACCGGCTGTAAAATTGTGACCCTAATGAAGCTCTGCTGTAGGTGAACAACACGACAGGCGGTTCGAAGCAGGTGTACGTGCGCATCTTCTTGGCTCCCAAGTTCAGCCAGAGCGGCACCGACGCGCCCATGCGTCTCAGCGAGCAGCGTCTCCTTTGGATAGAGATGGACAAGTTCGTCTTTCTCTGTGAGTTTTTTTTGACAATCCAATAATAGCCTTAGTTGCCTTAAGTTCAGTCATTCTATAACTCTTACACCGCATCACACCACTTACAGCATAGTTTCTATGTTTGAAACATTGCTAACACTACTGTGATACAAGATGATCATTCAACACATAACTTGCAGCCTGACATTTGCACCCGATAGGCAAATCTACCCATTACGTTCATAGCTAGAGCCCGTCTACAAACACATCAAAACATAACTATCATATCAAATCAAAACATGGCAACACCTTATAACGACCCTTAAACTAAATATCATATCATATAGTGATGTGGGCGCTGAAGAATAGGCCTGATGTAGCCTGTCGCCGAGTTTTATACTTTTCGTGACTTGTTCACAGAAGATCTAGAAACAGGTCCTTCAACCGGATCTTTTCTAAACTGATGATAGTTTGAAATATCTACTAGACTTCCATTGAGTTTTGAATGGTGCTTGACATTTCAAGTTCTAACATATATTTCTTAATAGCTTTATCTAATCTGTTCTGGAAGGCGTTAATACTCTGAGCGTAAACGACATAATCGGGGAGACCCCGGGAAATTCTAGAGACTAATCAAACGATACCGAGAACTTACTCATTCCAGATCATTTCATACAATAGATCAGACTGCATCCAACATGACAACAAGATACACAACATCATGTATGACGCTAATTTCACTGGATAGTGGACATCCCCTAGGGCCTAGATTTTCCATACCTGCCAGAACTACGGCTGTCATTCAATACGCCCTGATGATTTTCATTTCGACACAAACAACTTTACAAAATTTGAAGCACCTTACTAGTTAGCTCACATTCCCATCCAACTCCGTACACAGAAAACGACTTTTTGAAATCTCCAAAATATTGATATAAATTCTCAGGAAGTCAGTTGCTCGATCCATGGCTCACCCTAACTGGCTAGCCTGACATCCACGCACTCACCACTCGTAAGACAAATGGCAACTAGGAACTAGCGGGACTAATGGCGACGGGCTGATTTTACGCATTGAGAACAACTAAAGTAACAACAAGCAGCAACCTGCGAATCTGTAACTTCGATAAAATTTATTTTCAACCATTCGAGTGATATCCATAGAACATGCATGAGTGATGTCCAAACAAAATGCGTAGTATCTGACGAGATACTACGACCAGTCTCTCTCTTGACAAATGGGATTTTCTTCCTGGTACCTTGCTGACATCCTTCGTTCACTGCATTGGGTTCCCGTGCTTGAGTTGCCCCAATAATTTTATTCGAAAAATGCACACATCGGTTAGCTATCGGCGTATCCCTCCAAAAATCTGCGTCATTGCTCATAACATCACCTTCGCCGATCACAAATCTACGGGGGGATTTCACCAACAGCTCATTAAAATGTCTTGCGGCTACCTCACAGCACTTAACTTAGACGAACTTACTTCATAAGCAGGTAGAAGGATCCATCGCAACTGATCTATCTGCTGGAGCAGCGTAGCTTCCTCAGCAGGAACATCAAATCTACCCTGCAATAGGCTGAATATCGCAGTTCTCACTTCAGGATTACAGTGATTACTGAACTGGAGGAACAGACTCTGCACCCTTATCACCTCTCTGAGATCAACATCCTCAGCAGATTCATTACTTCTCGGTTCACTCTCACTGGCCACCCCACGCTTTGGCGAACTATTGTCAGTCTCTGACATTTCTGATAGTCACTGCACCAACTACAGTAATGCCAGCACAACCTCAGAACGCAAGTTCGAAGAAATAAAAACGTTGGGCGCTAAATGTTGACGGGTCGTACGTTCCGGTGGTTCAGGGAAAACGTGGCACAGATCACGGTTTAGAAGTGTTTATTAGGGTTAGACAGTTACACGTTCCACAAAACCATTTAGTGGCAGGATCAGCATAACATGCTTCGGAGCTCCACCTACGTGTAAATCTCTTCGAAAACTAGCTCTCGAAGCAACTCGCCGCTGATCGAAGATACCTCGTCAGTTAGCTGGAACTCCGCTAACTAAACATAAGACAAAACCGAATTTTATTATACAAAGAAATTAAAAAAGAAACAAAGATAAATTTCCAAATTAGTATTTGATATAAGGCTAGCGTGAGACAGGCTATTACACAAGACAGAAATATTTAATTCTACCCTACTACAACAAAACAATTACTCTGGTAATAGGTTTTGCATTCGAGCTCGCAGGCGAGTTCGATGAAGTGTCGATTCGGTCTCTGGTAAACGAAAGTATGCATATTCTGCTTTAATTGCTATTTATGCATAATACTAAGTGTGATAAAACTTTACTTAATTCTAAACCCCAACCATTATCACATCATCCTCCAGCTCCCCGATATTTCTCTCGTACGCTTGGCATTCTTCAGGCAAAAGTCGGCAATAATCCAATTATGCGCTCGGCGACTTTCAACTTACTGTTGGAACCTCTCAATGTTCTAACATTTCCTATTAAAAATGCCTCCAACACGGCGTCATTAGGTAATTTGAGGATCATTCTAATATAATAATATTGAACTCCAATCGAAAGTAAGCCTCAGAAGTCACATATATTTATATCGTTTTCTTGAGTGTGTGTGTGCTGATGTTGGCCTCCCATAACTCTCTCTTCCTTTCGAAGGGAAGTTAGAGGAGACAGAAATCAATACTAGTTTGATAAAAAAATCTCTCATCCGTGAGACATTTCGAACAGAAGTAGAATCATAGTTTTACAATGTAATTAAAATATGCGTTTAAAAATTACTTTGTAAAGGCAACACTTCTAAAAAAGGCCAGTGTGTCCAATGTTACACATTGTAACCGCTGCCTTGCAGTCTAATATGGTTACGTACCATTCTAGTAATGATTTCGTAATAAGGGCATGTAAATTTGGGCATTGAACACAGAAACAATTTTAATTACAGCAAAATTCAGCAAAAGTTCGCCAAACGGGCTTCAAGCTAATGTCACAGGCCTAATGCCGCAGGTTGAAATAATTTTGCATCTACGTCTGCAAAGGGATTAAAATGCTATTACGTGTAGTAATAAATCCTGCAATTGAAATCGGACAAATAACAATGTAACAAATGTTCAGCATCCCCGCAACATACCGTACTGGTCTGCGTCGGGATCAAAAGTGACTCGTGGAGAAAGAGCGATACTGAAAACTACAACAAAATAAATGAAATATTAAAAAATAAATAAAAAATAACAAAAGAAAAAATAAACAAATGCTCTACGAGATGCGTCAAACTGTGGCTACACACATGTACAATGAATTTATTTTATTTCTAAATATTAACAAATATATTTTTTACATTTTTAATATAAAAAATTTATAAATTATTTATTCTGTCAATTGATTCAAGCATTGTCTCCAACTTTACGGAAGTGTGCAAAATTTCAGATCAATTAGACAGGTAGAAGTGTGTTAAAAATCAATTATAAGATTTGTGGCAGACAAACAAACCGTCAACAAGAAGTGAAGTTAAAGAGGAGTGTTGTAAAAAGAATTTCAACAGAACCTCGCTTCTGAAATTTACCGCTTTTCTGACCATGCCCACCCCCAGTGAAGGTTGGGCAGAACCACATTAAACGGCCGTCCTCACAGTCCTCCGTGACCATCCCTGGCGAGATCACCTTCAGGGACCTCGAGCAAAACATCCGTGGAGGCCCTCAGCGTACGTCGGTTATGTGGTCTTATATAACTATTCTATCATTTGAAGAGCTTTGATTGTCATTATAGCTGCTGCGTTTGACTGTTTTGTAGGTTTCAGTTTTAACTTACTTCATTATTAACCTCTTGAAATGGCTTGGAGAAACTCAATAATAATTCCACCAGCAATTAATTCTATTGAAATACCGGAAAATTTATACTTAGCAGCGTTAATCATTACACGAAATTGATATCATATTGTTAAGCAATTCAATCAATTGATTCAAAGCCGCAATTACTGCAGCATCCACGCGGCCTCCCGTGGACATTCTGGAAGACTTCTGCGGTTGTGGGTGGCCGCACCACCTGCTGGTGCCCAGAGGCCGCCCTGAGGGCATGACGTTCCAGCTCTTCGTCATGATGACCGACTACGAGCAGGATAGGGTGCGTTTCTGCTCATTCCATCCATTGCATTCAAATATTCATTCCTAACAGATTATCACTAAATAATTCAGAATTCACTGTTGAAAAATTCTGATAATTTCACTTGAGGGTTCATTATTCAAGGACTTAAGATAGTAGGGAAAGTCTGCTGCAGTAGACTATGCAAAAACTGATTAATTATTGAATTCATACATCCCAAAAATCAAATGATAAGAGCACATGGCGGACAGATTTACTAACACGAAGAAAAATTCACATTCAGTGTTAACCCTATCACTACGATTGTCACCATTTTTACACGCTTCTACATTCTCTCTACCAAACACTAACTCGTCTGTGTTCCGCTATTGCGAATTCGAGCAGTGGAAATAAAATAAGGGAAACATGAAGGGGCAAAGATAGGAAGCGGAAATGCGCAAGGTGAACAATTCAGGTGTTTTTATTTGTTATAGGTTGCAAAAATCCAGCGCGGTGCTTGAACGCATTGGAACTTTGAAGAGGAAGGGCTTTGCGGTGATGTGTACGACTGGCAATTTATAGAATATTTATTGTTGATGTTTTAACAAAATTTACGCTCATTCAAATGCATTCGATTTTATTCCTATTAAAAATTGTTGTTATGAATTTTCCATTATTCTTATTATTAGTATTAATTTCTTTGCTACCATGATATTTATTTGTTTTTACTTTCATTGGTATAGTAGGTTCGCAAAAATTTTTATCACATCTCAGCAGACCGATTTTAAGTGTCAGGTTTCGCACCGTGAGTTTTAGTCGGTGTGGTTTTCTCCTCAAGTCGTTAATATCATGACGTTCCTCATATACCATCAGTGTACTGTTAGCTCGTCCCTTTCACTGGATCGGTTATTGCTCTACATCGCATTATCATTTCTCATCCTTCTCGTCTGTCCACGACAGACTCTTACAGCTGCTCGGTTACAGCACTCTGGGTATTGTGGCAGTTCCTCAAACTGCACAACACCTGACAACGCCTGTCCCCCAGTAACACACCCATATGCTATACCCACCTCCCCCCGTGCTCTTCCTTATACCAGCCTGTTATTGCCCTCCTGCCATTACCCCCGCACTGTTATCGCCCTCTGTCACTACCTCCAGGCTGCAAATGTCCCCTGCCACTACCTCCTGCCTGCCATTGCCCTATGCCACCACCCCACCACCCTAATCTGCTAATGGCCACTACCCTCACCTATCGCACCGCAGATGCCGCAGCGCGAAGGCTCGCGTCAGTGCGCAGGGGCGGCGTCATACTGCGGGGTGCTGGACGAGCGCTACCCTGACCGCCGTCCCATGGGCTTCCCCTTCGACCGCCTGCCCCCACGCGAGCTTCGTACCCCTCAGGAACAGGTTACTATAATGCTATTACTACCAGAAGTTTCGATACTATTATATATCAGCGAGTAACTATAATTACACACTATAATCTGATGAGAAAATCGGAATAAATTTACATACATATATCAGTAAAAATAAAAATGCCTTTCGCCTAGTGTTAAAACATGAGGATAACGAACCATATTGTAGATTTCTCTGTTCATAAAGCAATACAGTTTAATGAAATTTATTTTCGAACTTGTTGAACCCTGACGCTCAAAGTGTACGTGTTAATGACCAAATACCTGCTTAATTACCATTTAATAACCAGGTCATTTGAATTCCGGTTTTAAATGACCAATAAATGATGTCATCTATATAACTTTTTAAGATGACCAAAAAACGACATGATCTTTTAAATACTTTTTTCCATGCCCAGGTGCTGACCATCGAAGACCTCGCTCGTCTCGACAACATGGCCGTGCACGACGTCGTGATCCGCTTCCTGGGCGAAGAACTTCCAACTGCCGCTTAACCTTCCAGCAGAGTGTCTACCTTCGCAGCCAGTCTACGGCTACCGGCTGATCCCGTTGTCTACCTTCGTAGCCAGTCTACGGTTATCGGCTGATCCCGTTGTCTACCTTCACAGCCAGTCTACGGCTGCCGACTGATCCCGTTGTCTACATTCGTAGCCAGTATACAGTTGCTGGCTGATTCCGGTTTCTACCTTTGTATCCAATCTACGTTTGTATCTAGTTAGTGTGGTCATTTAACTGTTGACAGGTTCAGGTTGCAGTCATCTTATATATAGTTGCAGTCATCTTATCGTGAGGTGTGATGCAGTTACCTCGCATCACACCACATTTCAGATGTTATCATTACAACTCTCACAGCGCAAATTAATTATGATTTGAAACTGTAAGCAACACCCAGACTCAATGCGTCCTCCAGTCCTCTAGGCTTTGGCTAAAACTTTATTCTATTAAGAATAGAATAGAAGTGTCGGCAATGAAGAATAGGCCCATGGCCTGTTGCCGATTCATGAACTTTTCGTGACTTGATTCACAAGGGATCCGGCCTTTGGAACCCGATCTTTCTATAACTGACGGTTGATTGAGATAACTGCTGGACTTATTGCCCGATCCGTAATTTGCTAGGCATTCCAAGACTGAACATATGCTCATGCATAGCTTCGTCTAGTCGGTTCTTGAAGGCGTTTACACTCGGAGCGTCAACGATGCTATCAGGGAGGCTGTTCCACTTGCCGGTGACTCGAAGCGAGAAGAAATGTTGTCGCATGGATGTGTTACAACGCAGTTTTTTCAGCTTATAGCCGTGGCCCCTGGTGTTGGTTCTTGTTTCAAATTCTAGTAATCCTTCTGGGACCTTGTATAAGCCATGAGTATGCTTGTATGCTTCAATGAATTCCCCACGCAGACGTCGATACCTGAGGCTTGGAAGCTTCATAATCTTTAATCTTTCCTCATTGGACTTGCCTTTCAAGCCCGGAATTATCCTTGTTGCACGTCTGTGAAGACTCTCTATTAAATTTTTGTCCTTTTCAAGTTTCGGTGACCACACGACGTTTCCAAACTCTAGGTTCGGGCGCACGACAACAACAAACAACTGCTTCATCGCTTATGCATCTAGGAACTCGAAAGAACGTCTGATCAGTCCAAGTCGTTTATTGGATTTATTAACTTGACCTTCAATATGCTTCGAAAATTTCAACTCATTGTCGATATTAACTCCTATATCTTTTTCCATTGTCGACTTCGACATCATCACTCTGTCGTTGCAACCGTGTCTTCTCATACTGTAATCTTGCTGATCATTATTCTTGCCGAGGTGGATTACTTTACATTTGTCATCGTTAAAACGCAGCTGCCACTTATCAGCCCAGTCAACCAGCCTGTCAAGATCACCTTGTAACTGTTCATTTTGCGACGTATGCTTCACTGTATTATAAATTTTTGTGTCGTCAGCATACATCGAGCACACGCTAGACACAGCTTCTGGCAGATCGCTTATAAACGCAACGAATAAAACAGGCCCGAGAGCGCTTCCTTGTGGCACGCCGCTGCGCACTGGAGCCCAGTCTGATACGGACCCATTAATACTGACACTTTGATGTTGGCTGCAGTAATGCGTAGCTTGCAGTAAATGAAAGCAGTAATGACTGATATCACTGTAATCAATCACAGATTAATACCGAATTAGAGTTATCAATTTTCTTTTCTGTCGTAGCTATAGAGCTTTATCTTCGCATGTGTTGCTTTTCTTGGTACAATAAAAGTTAACGGAGTTCCTGTGTGGTTGTCATTAACCCCTGGGAGGTTAGCTCGGCCGACGCTAAGCCGGTAATATCGTGGGACCAAACCATGTCCTGGTTTATCCTGGCTTGTTCAGGCTTGTCTCGGCTTGTTCTGCCTTGTCTTGGCTTGCCCATGTCTCATCTTAGCTTGTCTTGGCTTGCTCATGCTGGTCCTGGCTTGTCCTGGCTAATCTTGGCCTGTCCTGGCTTATCTTGGCTCGTCATGTCTTGTTCTGGCTTGTCTTTTCTTGTCCTGGCTTGGCTTAGCTTGTCTTGGTTTTCCCATGCTTGTCCTGGGTTTCTCTGGCATGTCTTGGCATGGCCAGGCTTGTCCTGGCTTACCCTGGCTTGCTCTAGCTTTTCCTGTCTTGTCCTGGCATTTTTTGACTAGGAAATCCGAGCAATCACAAATTGAAAGCAAGGCACAATTAAATATATGACTTCACTAATTTTGTTTATTTTGTTCAACTGCGGGTCAGAAACTCCACTCATTTATACCAAGGCTAAAACAAGTGCTAGTTGTCAACTAAATCCATAATTTCAGTAGAATTCGATATGCGCAGCAATCCAAAAACCCTCGACAGCTACTTATCACAACCGTCAACCGACGTACGACCGGGTTGCAGTTCTATGTGCTGGGGGTGTTCCTGGCTTGCTTTTAATTGTTGTGCACCTATAGCTAATCGCTGTATTTAGCCGCTGAATGGAAAATGGATGGGTGCATCACACTCTGAAGATTGTGATCACCCATGATGGGTGATCACTTAAAAGTGTGATCCTTAACTTCAGAGCCCTTGCGATCCTTCTCCTTGAGGATTGCTGCCAGCTTTTAACCCCAATCACGGTGAGTGCAGTGCGGCAATTGGAAGCGGTCTAGCGAACCTTCCCGTCTAGGATCAGCGAGATGGGGGACCTGAAGTACTGGTAGAGGCAATAGCACGTGGATTTGCACTCATTGCATGGGAGATGGTAGGGTAATGTCATGCTGATCACAAGAAAATTGTAACCGGACCGGCCCTAACTTCGGAAGCGAGACTCGGGATTATACCATACCACAGATAAAGGGGAGACTGGGCAGGACAACCCCGTTGTGCGTATCGAGACGGCGCTCCAGCATGGCCTGGGACTGCTTCGTCCGGAACACATACTAAGGATGCTAAGGCATGGAAGATTATGTTGACAATCGGCAGGAACCTGTTGAAACGACGGCTGGCAGAGAAAATCATTAGTTGTGCACTTGTGCTCATCGCAAACTCTGCGATGAAATCGTTTACGACATTTTCAGCCGACAGCGGTAAAGCCTTGGGTGAAGGGGTAATATGCTGAAGCAAGCAGAAGGCGAGGCTGGGACAGTGACCGAGAGAAGGGGGAATATGTTTAAGCTAGCTGGTGAGGAGGCTATGGATACCTGAACCTCTACAGTTAATCATGGGCTGAGCCATAGACGGCATTTCTGCGAGCAACGTTGATATAAAATAGCAATAATTGAACATATTCACTTGGTCGGCAAGGTTGACCAACGGTTTAAGGTAGTGATTTCATCATCAACATTTTAGCAGTAGCCAGGAGGCAACGGTTGCGCTCCTATCACGGTATGAATAGCACTATGAGGAACGTTCTGATATGAGAACGTCATGGGGGAAGAAGCGGACCGGGAAGTAGGGGACCCACATGCCGATCTTGAAGGGGACAGTCCCTGTAGGGAATGTGGACCATATATTCCTCGCGCCTCACGGCGTCCAGGATGATGGAGGCCGGGGAAGGGGCTCCTCTGCCGGAGAGGTGATGGTGTTCAGCCACTTTTAATGAGCTCGGGGCAGTGAAAAAGCACCGGAGGAAACTATCTATGTGATCAAAAGAATGGCTAGTCAATCGACAAAGATTCAACCATATAAATTTGCTAAATTTCGACCGCAACGATAGTCGAAACGACTATTTAGGCAGACTTTTGAACTGGGCCTGCTGCTTTGAACTGCTGCTGGGATTCTGGCAACCCACAAGTGCCTTGTGTCCTTGTTGTTTGCCAGAAACTGTTTTGCTGTTGCATTGCCCAACTCATGGTCTGGCTCGTACTAACCTAACTAACTCACTAACCCAGCGAAACGTTAATTTCAATTTAAATAACTTGCTCGAAGGAGGCCCTTATCCAAATAGCATTCAGGAATCAATTATTGCTAATTCATTGGCAACCTTTTTAATCTCTACAATATGCCCTATGTAATTTCGTTTATCTTTGCGCTATAAAATCAACGAAAACAATTTGATGACTGTAGTGATCAGAACTTATACTTCTGCATCGAACTGTCTCTTATTTTTCTCTCTTATCCCATTATTTTATCTAATTTTACTATGCAAACATAAGCGCCATGAGTGATAATTGCTCGGTGATGTTGTTTGAATTTTATCATGCGGCAATATTGCCTTGGTCTAACTAACAGTAACCTGCTTGGTCTACCGAAAATTGACTGCCTTGGTCTGACTTATAGAAGCTGTCATGGTCTAAATTATGGTGACAGGCCTGGTCTAACTAATATTGCTGACTTGGTCTGACTAACAGTGATTAACTTGGTTTAAATTATAGTGATCGATGACCTAACTAATAATGACTTCTTGGGCTAACAAAAAGTGACTGGCTTGGTCCAGCTAATAGTGATTGGCTTGGCCTAACCAACAGTGATTGGCGTAAGATTACGCGTGGCGATCAGCAGGGGTTTATTAATGGCTATTGCATTGCAGTTGGCAGCGGTATTGGCTTGGGTTTCCGAATGTAGATTTGATCCCGCGTAGCTGAAGCAATCGGTCTGGCCTTCTGGATGGGAATTGTTCCTGGTTTGAATGCTGTGTGCAATTGTACACAGTATTCATTGTATTGTATTGTGTATTGTGTAATCTAATACGGGAACAAAATATGGTAACTATAACTAACGTCGCTCATGCACTCAATAATGTCCACAGGAAATTATGTATTCGTGAACAATTATTCAGAAAAATGAATAGTTCATGCTGTCTTATTATTGACACACTTTTCACGTAGCACTGCTGAACTGGGTCAGGATGACTCACGCACGGGGCTCATCGCTATTGGGACTCATTTTCTGAGGGATAATAGTTTCTGATTTTATTTATTTTCGAACTGGTAATTTTTGGCATGCTAAGACATCTTCGTAATTTCTGGCACCAAATAGCGCCACTATCTAACGGCACAATATAATATATCATCCCACCCCAAATCAGAGAATTAATATCGCACAAATTATCCTTTCAACAAAATTTTTAACACGAATAATTTTTTCCAATATGACTGATGTCGTTGACATGAATAAAATTTCGATAAATCAAAGATTTTTCCATCGGAAAAATAATAATAAAAT